GGCTGGGACTCAAATTCGTGCTTCAGTGGCTTCAGAGAGCTTCAAATGTGGTGCTTTAACCGATTACGCCATCAGGGAGAGCCCTGTTTTTGTCTTTAAGACAAACTTCTGCATGTGAATTTACTGAGTCAAATGGTAAGAACATTTTTAAAGACTTTGATCTATCAGTTCACTATATCTACAATCTCACAGATTGTAAAATGTACCATTACTGTTTGAGCTGGGACCCCAAGAACAGGCTAAAGGCAGGCAAAACTAAAAGGGTGATGGCTCACCTGTGTTTAGTTTTATATGAAGCATGGCTGCTCAGCTCCACCCTTAGTTCCCAGCAATCTGGCCTTCAGAAAGTCAAGTGTCATGGCAGATTCATGGCATGATGGGAATTGTAATCCTCCTTGCCTGGGATCTATTTGGCATGGAGGTGGGGGTGGAGTCCATAAAACATCAGTGGGTGGAGTTCATTCAAGGGTACACTGTTCCCCCAACAATGCCTTTTATTTGATAATTAGTGAAATGATTTTCTGGACTTTTTAAAGCATATGATCAATTTATATTTTATTCTTGTATATCTGTAAAATACAGGCCAAAACCGTGGCTAAAATGTTCATGCCTAAACCTATTCATTCTTCAATGTCACTTTTCAACTCCTGGTGGTCTTAAGTCCATGTGCCATAGAAGCATTGGGATGAAACATTTTAAACAAAGAGCTACAATCTTCACTGCAGATTTTCATCCAAGAGTTGATATCCATTGTCCAAAGTGTGGTAAACAGGCAGAGGAAATAGCAGTTAAGTCACAATCGCTGCCTTGCTGAGAGTGATCATAAAACACACCGCAATTTAGAGATATAAAAATGTTAAACAATGTGGAGAATAAATGAAATGTGCTGTGTTGGAAACTGTCCAACAAAAAGGTGTTACCAATTTGTAATACCACGGCAGTACATGAAGTTACCATTTCCCTTAAACCTTAGTATCAGGAATCTATAATCAGAAACCTTTGCCAATTTGATAGGTGATAAGAAGTATCTTAATTTATATTTATCACTGGATCAGTTGAAATTTATTTTTGTTCACTTGTATTTCTTATGCCATTTTTTATATACTTGGATTATTTTATATTTTGATGTCAATCTCTTAACTCTTAAGAATTCTCTATGTGTTTCCCAATAAGTAATGAAAGAAAGGATGGGCGTTAATCTTTCATCCATCGTATGTTGCAGATAGTTTTCTCCACTAGTTTTTTTTTATTAAACTTATGAGATAATTTTTTTATGTGGAGATGTATTGAATTTGCATGCAGTTAAGTTAATTAATGTTTTCCTCTGCAATAAGTTCCTCCATAATTTGCTCTTATGTTTAAGTGAGTTTTCTCTGAACTTGAAATCAAACAAATATTAATCTTTATTTTCTTCTAATTGCTTAATGGTTCTTTCTGCTTTTAAACAAATTAACTCTCCAAATGCATGTGAAAAATTACTTTGATAAACATCTAATTTTATTTCTCTCCCAAAGTCAATGAATGTCCCAGGAATAACCCTTTGAATAAACCTTTAAATACCAACTTCTTCAAATATAAACATTCTTATATTTACTATGAGCTATCTATCAGATAGTTATTCTAGTCTAATGTTAATGTCTATTTTTGTACAAATATTGTTTTAATTATTAATTCAAGTCACCATATAATTTAACAACCAATGTAGGATGTTTTGCAAATGGATTATGCTTGGCTGACAGACACAAAGACACAAATCTTGGTCCTTGGCCATTCTAGTTACCTTATTTTTTTTTTAATTTGTTTTTATATATAGTTATTAGATAGTATTTTTTATGTGTTTTCAGTCTGCTAGAAAAAGATTATCTCATGACTTCTATTTACAAAATTGTTCAATCTTTTATCAAGAATAAAAATATGCAGACCTTAGTAGTGATGGGGTGGATATCTAAGATTATTCTGGAGTGATTTGTACACTTGAACCATGGTTTGCTCAGTTTCAATGAACTTAGGTTGATTGGGTTTTTAATTTTTTGCATTTATGGATTATTTCTGTGACTTTCTATTACTTTCCACTTGAAGTTACATGCAGTTGAGAACTAGTCCACAGAGCCATCTCTTTTACTTTGCTTTCTGTAGCTAACCCTCTGTTCAGTCTTTCCTTAGAAACTTCTAGCTGTTATCTCAAATATCACTTCTACCTCTCTCTTTAAAGTCATCCTTCCACTGTCTCACAACATTCATTTACTATAGGTATCTTCTTCACTAAATGAGCAAAATATAACAATGATTTGGTTCAGATAGTTAAGAATAACCAATATGTGAATTCCTGTCCATTAGGACTAAAGATTGAGGGCCAAGAAGCACTTATGGGCAGGCCAAGAAACATGGACCGTCTTACCTCTGTAACAGAAATCCAGAGAGCAAGAGGTATTATTGCCTGAGTCTGCCTTGCTTATTACTGTGGCAGAGGCCAGCATGTTTTCAGTTTTATCTGTTTATTTATTTATTTCACAGCATTTATTCCCTGCCAAGTAAATGCTGACTGACACAGTTTCTCCAAGGTCATAATTGTTCCTTTAGCAATCACAATTTCTTTCTATCTGGCATTGGTAATGTCCTTTTTTCTCTCTTACAGAAACAATGTTACAGATCTTTGTGACTCCATGATCACAAAACACAACACTTTGTGCATGGGAAGCTGATCAGCAAATGTTTGTTAAAAGTTTTGAATGACTTTCCAGCCAGTGACCTTTAATGCCAGCACACTCAGTTCATATTTGTCACTTTTGATGATCATTTTAATTTGGTTTTGCTAGTAAAAAAAAATTTTTGTAGAGAAGTAAGACACCATGGGCCCTACAGGGATATATAAAAAAGGTTTTGTTTCTCCATGGTTTACATATAAATGAAACCATTTGGTATTTCTCCTTCTCCTTTTAACTTTACTTTGCATAATCCCCTCCTGTTCCATCCAAGTTGTCACAAATGGCAAGAGTTCATCTTTTTTTTTTCTTCTATACCTAAGTAGTATTCAACCAACAACAAACCTAGAAGTCAGACTATATAGAATTGAGGTTACCAGAGGGGGAGAGTGGAGGGTGGACGCAAGGTGTGGAGGCCCAATGGGCCATAGAAGTGGAGGACTGTGGATGGTGGTGAGTGTAGCAACATGCATCTGAAGATCTGGCATCCTATACTTCTGAATCAGACTCAATGTTGCAAATAAATAAAAAAAAGTTTGGGTGAATAATCCCTGAATTTCTTTCTAAAACTTAGTCTTGGACCATGGCTTTCTTTTTGCTTGTCTTTGCCTTTTGACCCTCCTCACTCTTCTTGCCCATTGGTCCATAAGCAGGATGCTCTCCCCCTCCCTGCCTTGAACCTTTTCCCTTTCCCTTTTCCCTAGACCACTTCTATGTCTTCCCATCAGATCTCACTCACACTCGTTAAAAGCCATCTGGCTAAAAAATCTTTTTCCTCTTGCAACACAACTCACCATCTTCCTTTCTTCTTTCTCTTTCTTAAATAAAGGATTCACATTAGGGCTGTCACATCTGGCTTTACAGAATCCCAGTTCTCCTTTGCAATGCTCATGTTCAGGAAGTTTCTAAGTTACAAGTTTTCCAGAGTACTTTTGTTAATAAGTTATTTGGAACTTGGGACAAATTTTCCATCAAAAGAAGATTCTAACTGGTGTTTACAGATTCTAATGCAGCCCTCAACAACTTACTTGATACACTACACATTTCTTGAGTCAAACATTGCTGTTAAGTGATAGTTATTGGGAATCTGTGTCCACCAAGTTGCCCGATAGCATTGTGCTATTTGGCTTTAGTGGTTCAGACCTACTTCTACATTAGCATCTGCAAGGTTTTTGCTTCTGGTAAACATGATCTTTCCTCAGCATTAGCTTTACAGCTGCAGCCCTTTCTGCAGTTTACTCATAAGATATCACAGCAATTTTCTGAACACTCAGATAAAGCAATAATAATTTGCACATGTTGGCACATCCTTGTGCAGATCTGAGGAACATCATTGCCTACTGGACGAGCTCCATTGCACCAGAAATCCATTGCACATTATTACAACATTATCTTTGGAGAGAGCAGAATGTCTTTGATATAGGGGGTAGTTATCTGACAGATTGTTCCTGGGATAATGCTCCTAGTTGGCACCCAGAGGGGTCTAGTATCAACACCGAATGAACAATGAATGAATGAACTAATGGCAAAGGACTACACTGAGACATCTTTACAGTTGCTTTTAGTGTTTCCAAGGGTTGAAGCATTAAAAGGAATGACCTCACCTACTCATGTGAATACACCAAGTAGCTCACCTTCTGGTATGACCCAAATCTCCTTCTGCTTTGTAGAGTTCAGAGAGAACAAAGCCTTTATTGGTATTGCTTTACTTTGTACTTTGACCAAAGGTGGGTCAGCGGAGGCTTTTTCTCTCAGGCTTGAACGACAAAGTACCCACCCAAGTCGATTTATCCCAGAAGAAGCCTCTTACAAGAAGTCTCCTTTCAAAATTTAAATTTTTGTTTCCTGTTTTAATAAAAAGCTGTCTAGAAAAGGACTCAAGTCAGATGTACATGAACATCCTTGGCTTCTCACGTGATCTGTATCCTCGGGTGGATTCGGGGTTTGAACTATAGAATGGCCAGGTCTGGTAGTGCTCCAGCCTCCTCAGGTGGTGGGTGTGGGTTGCACTTCCCTGAAACCACTGAAAACAATTCTCTTCCAGCAGAGTGAAGAGACAGGGGGCCGTGCTTTATTATGGCTATGTAAAAGTCTGTGGGTGCTAGAGGTTACTTAAGGGGCTCGTACTCTGGAGGTCCGCTACCCTCCAGGGAATGAGTCTGAGGCATGAGCGCTTCCAGGACTGCCTTGCCAGTGGGGGGCGCGCTCCCGTGGGAACGGCAGGGCGGGGCAGGGCGGGACCCGCTCCTCGCTCCCTCGGCGCCCGCCCTCTTTTGCCAAACTTTGTTCGCGGCTGCGGCTGGAGAGTAGGGGCACGGCTGCCTTCGCGTCCGCCGCGCTTTCCGCTGCTCCTAGCTCCGGGCCTGAGCCCGACACCCGGTCGCCCCGTCGCGCTCGTCCCGAGGGCATGCGGCAGCCGCAGGGGCCCCCGGCTCCCGGGCTAGGCGTCGCGGGCAAGTGCGAGCGGTGAGTGGGATCCCCGGCGCGGGGAAGGCTCTGGAACTGAGGCGCGCGTGGGGAGACCAGGGCACTGGGGTCCCCGTCCGGCCCAGCCCGCGGCTTGCCGGGTTTGTCAGGCGCCCAGCCCGGGCCCCACACTCACTGGGGCAAGACTTTTCTGGGCGGGTGTGTGGCACATCTTGCCGTCCCACTTTTTTCTAACAGTGAAAACAATCGGGATGCAAAATCCACGTTGCGTCCGCCCCGACTGTGGGCAGGTAGGCGGGGCGCGGAGGCGCGGAGTGTGCAGCGCAGTCTCGGCTTTTGGACAGGTGCTACTTTTCCAAACTCTTCTTCTAGTTTTGCAAACCGTAAGCGCTTACAGCCGTCAATGCTGAACTGAGGCCGTCTAGTGGATACATTTTCAGCCATCATTTAAACGCCCGGTACGACCGTGTGTCAGGTAGGGAACACTTGGAACTATGCAAGAAATGATTCCGGAAATCTTTATTATTAACTAGCGGGTAAAACTTATTGGGGGCTGTGGTTTGTGGATAAGTGAAGGTCCCCGCGATCCCTCTCTCTTTGGGTAGACAAAAGTTCTTTGTTCTGTAGCAATGTTACTTTATTGCTTTCCGTCAGCAAGTTGTGACTACCAAAACTGCTTAGAAATTTCTCAAGCATGTAATTTGAGGAGTGACTAAATATTGGAAACAATTTAGTCTTCTTAAGGTAATCATTAAAACGGTCCTCAAAAGCATTTGTAGGTCAATTTTTAACTGAGTAATTTCCATGAAATGCTCTCTCCCACCCCCCATTTATTATCGTCACTGCCACTCTTGCTGCTCCTCCTTGCTTTATTGCCCAGACTATGTTTTACCTGGCCTTAAAAATGCTACTCTAGGGCAACATTATCTTCTATTGGTTCCTCTGTGTATTATACTTCCGGGAAGAAAGTAAATGTTAATCACAAACAGAGTATTCCTTCTCTACAAGCTGGTTATCAGGTCTCTGCATTTTATTAATGCATGCACTTTTGTATGACCTAGGAGTTTTGTTGGTTTTTTCAGAGAACTATAGATTAGATACTATTTTATGTAATATCAGTCAAAGAGAATTTTCCCTTTTTGACTAGAAGGGATAAACACACTACTTGGCACTACTTAAAACCGTTCTTGTCAAAAAGTAGACTGTTCTGGGAAAGACCAACAGGCAAAGCCTAGCCAAGCCTGTGTTGAGGATCATGTTCTTGAGACAGGGCTCCAGGGCTGTCTCTTGTGCCTTGAGGTGGCATGGAGCTAGTTAGTATCTAGGGATGGGACACCTTTACTGCCTGGAAGTCACTTACAGTAACTGTCGATACCAGATAACTAGGGAAATAGATTGTTTGGGCTCATTTTTCTTTTTTGTCATTAGAATTGAGAATCTCACAATTTTGATTTAACTACCAAGGACACATCCTCTTCTAACGCTGGCAAATACATATATCAACTACGAGACTTTTTGTATTAGACCAAATCTATTTTAGGTATCTGGCTATTTTACAAGATGTTTGATCCAACAGGTCTGCCTATATTTTCTTCTATGAATGAAGACTAAAATGAAAACATTAAAACGATTATTGTTCATGTGTGTTCTTCAGAATGTTTTTTAGAATCTACAACATGTACTTTCTCTCATTTTTCCAAAACACATGCACCAAGGAACAATTGCACACACAACTTGGTAGCCAGGTAGCAACCAAGACACATGCTCTCAAAGTCCTGCACATACGCCTCAGGCTGACTGCTTCTCTCTGAAGTTTTCTAACTTCCTGCTCAGAAGCAGCAGTCCACCAGTGTTTCAGCCCAACCTCTTATTTCTTTGGGCTGGGGCAAGGGGAGTCACTAGAACTCAGATGGGAATTACTATCACTCAAATTACCCATTAGCCATTCTCCTCGGTGTACACATTAATCCAAAATGCTTTCTGGCTTGTGATTATACCCAACAGCATGGTTAAGTCTGATTGCAAACTTCTAAATGGCAGGGCCCAGGCCCAGGGCATCATTAATGTGGTGTAAGGAGAAGAGCTGGGCTTTGCTGTGACCAGCCTTTGTCCAGGTCAGGCTTTGCAACTTAATATGTTGCTTTACCGCTCTAAGCTTCATTTTTTGGTCTAAAAAAATGAAGCTTATACCCACCTCCCAGGATAAACACAGAAGAACTTAGGGTCGCTGGTATTAGGAAACACTCCCTACAGGCTCTTAAGCCCTCTCTTGGTTGCCCTCCTAAGTAAACATTAAACTGTGGACATTTTTATAAACATGGTGCAAATGCACGTTGTTCCATTGAGTGTGCAAAAATAGATTCGCAAACAGTCGGTGACCAAGACTTCTGTACCTTTCTAACTTGTTTTCTGCTTTCCTGGCTTTGGTCCTTTTGCTCTTTCCTCCATCATTCCTCCTGCGTAGTGAGCGGACACTTCTCTGGCCTTGCTTTTTCTTTGTCTCTTATCCTGGACTCTGTGCATATATGGTGAGATCCACCTGCTGTGGATGGTGCAGGTGGAGGTAAGGGCTGGGGAGCTGCCTGCATTATTTTTCTACAGTGTCGATTCAGATTGGCAACTAGAATACGGGGTCTGGTCCTAATCCCAGCCCCCTTTGTGGCTTCTTGTGACCTTGAGTAAAGCATGGGTCACCCCTGAGTCAGTTTTCTCATCTATACAATAAAGATACTAATTCCTTTCTCTTTTCTTTCTTTCTTTCTTTCTTTCTTTCTTTCTTTCTTTCTTTCTTTCTTTCTTTCTTTCTTTCTTTCTTTCTTTCTTTCTTTCTTTCTTTCTTTCTTTCTCTTTCTCTCTCCCTCCCTTCCTCCCTCCCTCCCTCCCTCCCTCCTTCCTTCCTTCTTTCTTTCCTTCCTTCCTTCTTTCCTTTCTTCCTTCCTTCCAGATTTAGCCATTTATACACACAGAACTGGGGTACAGGCCAGAGGCGTGGGAGGTGGGGAGGGTGAGAGGATTCATCAGAGACAGAGTGGGGAGCAAAACAGGCAGATTGAAATACGCTGCTGAGGGGAGCAGCAGGTGAGACAGGAGAGGTCTGCTGGGCCATGTGGGTCAGCTCCCTGCTTGGGGATTGAACTCATGCTGCAGTGGCTGCGGATTCCCTCATAGTGTTGCTCTTTAACCTATTGTGCCACCAGGAAGGGCCAACGACACTAATTCCTTTTCTACTTGCCTTTCTGAGTGGTTGATGGATCCCACTGCATCATGTATGCAAAAGAACTTTGCATACATGAAAATCATATAAATGTTAACATTAGAGTAGCAGGGTCTCCAGATGTGGGACATGCAGGCTGGTGATACGAGGTGGTAGGCTCTCCATGTGGCTTCTGGTGTGCAAGATGCACCTAACTGCAGTCCCTCCAACCCTGTCTCCTCCTTATATGGAACAGGAAACTTCACAAAAGAAATGCTGCCAGGTGGAGAAACTGTTGTGGAGGGAAGGTACATTTCAGGTACATACTGAGATCACCTATCACTGTGTGATTGAAAGTGCAGGGCAAGGTTCCAAAGAAGCTCCAATTCCCTCTAGAATTATCTGTACTGTCTGTTCATCTCAGTTCTTAGTGGACAAAAACAAAATCCCAGCTAACCAGCCAGTGAGTAGAGGAGTGTGGTGATGGCAGTCACTGGGAAGCACTGTGCTGTCTTTACTATCCTGGGCCTTCCTGATAATGTGGATCTCTAAGATTCACTCTGCAAAGCACCAGACTTATGTAAAACATTAAGCTAGGGCCCTCCCTGGTGGCGCAGCAAGTTAAAGCACAGCACTAAGAAGCTAAAGCCACTTCAGCATGAGTTTGATCCTCAGCATGAGTTTGATCCTCAGCCCACATGGCACCACAGACCTCTCCTGACCCACCCTGCTGCTCCCCTCAGCAGTGTACTTTGTCAGCCAGCCTGTTCTGCTCCCCACTGTGACTCTGGTGAAGCCTCTCACTGCCCCTGTACCTCTGGCCTGTACCCCAGTTCTGTATGCATAAATAAATAAATCTTAAAACAACAACAACAAAACAAAACATTAACCTAGTTATTTCATTTAGTCTAAAAGGTGTGTGTTGCTCTCTATCTGACCTAGTGAATCAGGAGAGTGGTATCTGGTGAGAGGATGATTCTGACTTTCTGGATTGTAGCCATCCCCTTAACCATCCCCAGGCTGATCTTCTATTCACCCTCTATCTTCATCTCTTGAGACCTGCCCTCTTGACCTGTCAGCCTATCCTCTGAACTCCTCCCTTGCTTTTAATCCTGACAATGCCCCATTCCCATGGCCCTTTCCTCCCATCCTAGGATGTGAGTTATACATCGTAGGCTGAGCCAGAATGGGTGTCACTCTGGGAAACAACCTGCCTGGTACAACCTGCCCCACCCTTGCCTAAAGACGTTAGTCAGTGCCCCCAGTTATTCATCAACCTGTCTTACATCTTCATTGTTTTTGGGGGCATTAGGCGGGAGGTCCCCTAGCCTTCACCTTGACTCAACCATATATAGATTCAGTGAGAGAGGGTTTGCTTTGTAAGTGGCGGGGCTTGATGTGAGAGCACATCTGCTCCTCCCTCAGTGCCACCAGTTTTTCTGAAGGTCAAATCAACTTGCAATCTAAGTAAGAACAATGTGCTGGCCTTGTAAATGCAGTTTTAAAGCAAGCTGGCCTTTTCTCCCTTTTCAGCTAAACAGCCCCCAAAGCTTCTATTCTATGAAATTCTGGAGCTGTCCCTAACACTGGAGTCAATCAGAGGCATCCACTCTCCAAAAAACTAGAAATCCAAAGATTGAGGCTCAGAACCACTGAGAATAACTAATAATTGAAAACAAAAGCATGTCAGCCAACCAGGAGAACATCCGTGGATCATTTGCCTCCTGCCCTGGTTGATTATTAAGCAGACAGTATAGGGACTCTTTCCCAGGGCTAACTGTGAGGTGGGTCTAGTGAAGAGAACATAAGTATAATATTCTGTATCCCTAAGGAATTATGATTAGTC